TAGTCCTCCACTGGGATAAGAATTGCTGAAAATTTCAGTTTTCTATCTTTAATAGAAAAAAAAGTTATGATCTTTCAAAGTTTTCGGTAGCTAGCGACCTTCTTACTAGAACGATGAAATTTTATTTATTTTTTTCTTGAGATTTTGTCTTTTGGGATCCCCCAAACTCCATATACTAAATTATTCTGACATTTGGAGCCAGACTCGATGATAAAAGGCATCATTTTTGTTAATTTACTTAATTATTATTCAAAACAATGTTGAGCGGACTGATGACGAAACTCTATACTAATCAAATTGAAATGATTAATAATCGGTCTAAAAAGCTGCAAAATCAGCAGCCAAGACTCAGCAAAAGCTATAAAACTTCATACTTAAATTGTGTAATCGCGTGCAGCTGCTTTTAATTCATTCATGGTTTTATCTGTGGCTTATCGGAAAATTAGCGCTGTAGTAAGCGTATTGGCAACAGAATAAAAAATATTCGCGATTATATTAGGCGAAAAATACAATTTTGTTTTCCATAATGTTCAATTTTCGATGATAAGGGCCCGGACAAATTATGCAAGCTGGTGGAAATATCGATTTGCGTGGTATTAAAAATTCAGCTTTTAACAGATAGGGAAGGTTTTTTAAACTGCGGTCTACTTTCAATAATTGTTCCTCATGCATTATGCAAATAACGTCATAGATATGAAATTTAAACAGGCTTTTAATAATGAGTGAATATCAAAAAATCTAGTTAAGTAACATACAATATGAGGTAAGGCATCCAATTTGAATTAATTTTTAAATTTTGCTTGTATTTGTTTTCAATCTTTTTATGGCTTCTCTGGGCCTCACGTGTCTGAAAGAAGCCAAGTAAATCATGGCGAAAGTCTAATATACATATAAAATGTGTCTTGATGTTAATATGATTTTGACTTTCAAAAGAAAATGGAGAAATTTGTCCAAAATTCTCGTCGCTGCATACGGGCAATCTCAATCTTACGAAGTTATGGAACAATAATTGAGATACAACAGAAACCAATTACGAATGGTTCTGTTCTCCAAAAACTTTTTCAAAATAATTAATTACGTCACTACACATAGGAAAAATTATGCTGTTGATAAGTCTTAAGTCTCAGGGGATCATCCTAAATTGGTCCTAAACTGGAGTTGAGCTGGACACATTAAGACAATACCAGATGGACAAAAAGTATCCTGGATTGAAGCAAACGACTGCATAAAAAAAGTGTCGCTATCTAACTGAAACTTACCCAAACTAACTCAAACTAACCCAAAATAACTGAAACTAACCCAAACTAACTCGAATATAGTTGGATGATGTCAAAGTAAACTGGAGTTGAGTTGGACACATACCAGATGGATAAAACCTTGGCAAAAGCATCCTGGATTGAAGAACACGACTGCATAAAGGAAATTTTGCTAGTTGGATGATGCCAACGAAGAGGTTCGCAACAACTAGCCCCGAACAGGCACAAGTTTAGAAAAAGCTAGGTGAGGCCTATATCTAGGAGTGGTCTGTAAAGCCCTGTTAGAGAAAAAAAATTAAGTACGTTCCTTCTTGAAAATATTGAAAAATCGATGTGGAAGATTCTCTCAACCACCAATGGTGAATGATCTTCATGGGAATTCAACGTCTGAGATTAGATATAATGTAAGTAAGGTAAAGTACCCAATTGTTGACAGGGTCCCAAAGTTGACACATTCGCATATTATTCCCGAAAATAAGAATTTATAGAGGTTATAAGCTAACTGAAATAGCTTATAGTATTGTTGGAGCCATCTTTCGGACTATAGCTGATGTATGGATTTGAAATCTCAAGTTATTTCAAAATGGTGGCAAGAAGTAGTAAACAGGTGCAAATATTTGAACTTTTTTCCAGATTTCTAGTGAAAGTAGTTAAGAAGATATAAAAACAAAAGTTCTCAAAACTAAGGTAGGGTTGATAATTTATGAATAATATATTTATATATATTGTATAATAAGATACATTGTAATACATATTTATTATTGTTTTATCTCTTGAACAACTGGCATAAACTTCTAAAGGGGGGCTGTCAACTATTGGAGACCAAATCCAGGGGTAATCCAAATGTTGACCTAGTGTCAACTTATGGATTTTTGACGGTAAAAATATTTTAACATTGTAGTCTGTCTCTTTTTATTGCTCTGGATTGAAAAGAAACTTAGATATGGGTTTAGGGAATGTAACGGTCGTAGATCCAATAGATGACACTCCTGTCAATGTTTGGAGCTTTGAAGTGTCAACAATTGGTCCTTTCAAGTTTAAATCAAGAGATGGCTTATCAAAAATGGAAATTACTGAAATATGCACCAGAACTATCAGAACACATGATTGCTGCGTTGGATGATTGCGATAGGGGACTTACTGTAGCTACATCAGCAAAAAAACACAATGTACCAATGCTTTCCAAGCAATTTCTTTTATTACCAATTTGGAATTGAAATTTGTATATTTTTCCCAACAAAAAGTTTTCCAATGTTAATTTTTATTAATAAAAAGTTTGATTCTTACATTATTGATGTTTCTACCAGGGTTTCTACTGATACTGGCAACATGTCAACTATTGGTTTCAAGAGTGTCAAGTAATGGAACCACAACATGTACTTAAAAAAATTAAAATAATTGGTTATTATGTGCATATATTTCATTTAAAAAATTGTACACTTAGAAAAATATACTTCTTAGTTCCACAGACCGTGATAAAATTTCTTAAAAGTAAAAATTTGGTTTTGTAATAGTACATTAAAATACAAGTTTCATAAGACGTTATTTTATCGCACGAGCCCTATATTAGAAAACAAGCCGGAGGCGAGTTTTCTAAAGGGCGAGTGCGATAAAATGTCTTATGAAACGAATATTTTATACTATTTTTTCTATTTTGGTATTGTTTAATTAAAAAAAAACAAATTTTTCTTGGAAATTTTATTCTCATATTTCCTGATTTCATATGTTTAGGTTGGTAACACTGCATGCCAAATATTAGGCCTGTTCGCACAGCAATCACAAACCAGTCAGAAGACTATTTTCAACCAATGAGATTCACTCTGACTGGTTTGTGATTGTTCTGCGAACAGGCCTATAGAAATCTTCTATTATAAAATCGCGAATGACAGTTCGATGGCCATCAGTCGGCCAGTGTAACCAACCTTCGATAAGTAAAAAAGGAGTGTTACAAAGAGCTTCTTTTCGAAACTACTTTTAGTGTCGAAAAGACTTCGATATGACACCAAAATAGAAAAAAAAATATATGTCAACCTTTGGACCAAAAATGTGTCAACTTTTGGCGAAGTGAACTTTTTTGTGTGTCAACCTAACTAACTATTGGGGTTTTATCACCTTTCAGGTATTTTTGGCATAATAACACAAATAATAGGAATATAGCGAGGGTAGATAATATATCTTACCATTTAATTATGAGTTTGAAATCACGCCAAAAAATATATCAAAGCCTTGGGATTGAAAATTTGGAAAATGTGTAATTATAAGCAAGGATACCCTTAACATGTCAACAACTGGGTAGTTTACCTTATTCGATAATTTTGATATCCTGACTGAATATATACTCGAAAACTTTAGTAATTAATAGAAAAATTTTAAGACAAATTTGTGTTTTTGGACAAAAAGGGGAAACTTTCCTCCAACAGGCGAATTCGATGCAGGAGGATGACAAGCAAAGGTGAAGGCTCAGGAAAAAAATGCAAATAACAGCATATCTAAACCCCAAAGAGAACTCAGAACTTAATGACTTGTAATAAGATATCTGATACTTCTTCTGAAAAAAAAGTGGAAAACTAATCATTACAGGTCATCTACTCCGTTAGAAAACTTTCAAGAGGATTTTTTATGAAATGCAGAAAACTGCAACTTAGCCAAGAATAATTTTTGCATATAATCACGCAAGTTTGAAAAGAAAGAAGGGCATTCTTTCGTCCAAGGAGTGTACATTATTGTCCATTTTTAGCAGTCGGTATCATCACAACCTCTCATTTTTCAGGATTTCACCTCCTAATCCAAACTAAGTTCCACAGGTGTAAAAAAGACATTAATATATTTCCAAGAACCCAGCTGCAAATTACACGAAATTAATATTGAAGCGAATATTAGAGATCTCAAGGGCTTTATTAATTTTAGTTCTGTGTGAAAGTTTTCTCCGTTTTGGTTGTAATTATTCTCCAACATTAACTTTGCTTGAAGCTTTAAATGATGGGCTTTAACTCTCCAATGTAAATTTTGCACAGTAATTATCATGCTTTAAGAGCTGCTTCTGGCTTTGGATTAAGATTGTTGCGTTATGGATTTAGTAGTACTTAGAAGTTTTGAAGAGAATAATAATCACAATCATAATTTCACTTGGATGTATGTACAGCAAGATAAGTTTGAATTATTACAATATATTTACAAAGTTTAAAAATAAATGAATGAATTTGTTACGCAGGTAGAGGTAACTAGTTATTAATAAGCTTTTGAAAAATCATATTAGAGATGATTTATTAACAAAATACATTTTCATCAACTACCTACCTATATTATTACGAATAATGAAAATAGATATTTAAAAGCAAAGTTGGAATGAAAACTGCCATAAAACAAAAAAAGCTTTTGCGATAACTCTGTTTTAGTTTTTCGGTAAGTATAGCTATTATACAAATTGACAACTAATAAATTTTTATAAGGAACACAAAATTGAATAATGTAGTAATAAACGTAAATCAGTGAATATCAAATGCCGATTCCATGATTTGCAAACAATATTTTCAGATCCTAGTATAGTACCTACCTACAGTTCCAAATTCCAAATGCAAAAATATGCAAATAAAAAAAAAAGTAAAACATTTATATGGAACACCTACTTAGTTGTGTAAATTTCTAGTCAAAATTGGCTTTTTTATTTGTGAATTGATAGTAGATTATGTCGCTCCACCCCGCCCCTCGATGCCATATTCCACCCCAATTAGTTAACATACTGACCTGTAAAACTTCAGATCTGCAATCGTTGCTCTCGGATTCCAAATCGGATACTTGAAGTACGCATTCGTCTTCGTTTCCGGTAAAATCGGACACCACAGAAGAGCCACAGCTGTTGCCCGAATCATCATAAGAAAAGGGTTGCAACCCCTGCAAATCGACCTCCGCACTTTGCCTATTCTTCATGCCTATTTAAAATTCAAAAAAAAAAAAAACACCAAATTTCAGATCACAAAAAAAAAATGTCTTTTGTAGTTAATCGAGAGGGTCCCAATCCAACCAGACAGAGTCAGGGGCACAACACACGGCAAGCCACGGGCTCAACAGGCTGGAAAAGTAGAGGACGAAGCAAGCGAATCAGTGCCGAATTCTCGAGAAATTTCGCGATTGATTCGGTAACGCAGTTGCTCTGAGTATCTCGAGATCTCGACCGCACTATAACACGGTGACTGGTGGACTGTGCCGATTCTCGACTGTCGACTATGCGAGGCGAGGTTGTCGGCTTGTCGATAAAGCCGCTGTTTTTCGAGCGATTATGAACGAACAACAGCGAATCCTGGGGGTCGACCTTTTACTTGGCATCTTTGGAGAGTGGAGCCGAACCAAGGGAGAAATATCAGGGGGTTTTATCTCCCTTTGGACGTTGGACCGGTAATTGTTTTTGTGGTTTTGAGGTTTTCAGCAGAAGGGACGATAATTTGAAACTGATGTTAATCTAAATTGAACCACTAACCTGTTTGATGATAAGAATGATTAAACGTTTTTTGGGGAGGAATTTGGAAAGGTAATTTTTTTTCACTTTCTATGTGCTAAGTACTACATTAGGATATTGATTTGGAGGATGTAGGAACATTTTCCTTTGGAGGTCACTTGTTAATTACCGTTCAAGAGATTTAAGTGAGAAATTAAGTGAGCCAAGTGAGTACCTTTTTATAATTTTCTGTATAGTCTGTAGTGTAGCTCATCGCCATTTATGAAACTTTTCCGTATTCGCAACTTACCTATTTGTGTAGATTCTTCTGTGTAGTGTGATTTTAATTTAACTAAATTTTATTTGGGATCGCAATTCAATAAATCAATTAATGTCAAACCCTTTGGCATTTTCTTAATTATGAAAACGAAGACAATTTGATTATTTTCATTTAATTAACGAAAACTTCCATAGCATACCTATGTTTCCAGACAATGTGTCTTCTCCAGACGAACTACAAACTGAATGATATTTACGAAATTCCTTAATTTAAAATAGCTCGGGTAAAAAACTTATTACCAGTAAATAGAGTTTTAGTGGATCGTGGATCCATGGTAGGTACCTATATTCGTGACAATTTGATGTCAGAAGTAGGATGATTAGCAAGACAATGGATTGTATTATAATTTGAGCTAGTAAATACCTATGTAGTATTTAGCGGACATTACTGATGTATTGGTTAATTAGAGCCAATTAGGTGGAAAATTAGCGAGATAACTAGTAGTTAATCAGTGAGAACAGCAAATGAACTTCTGTTGACCTGAAGCAGTGATTTCATCACTGGATTTTACTCTAATAGATTCACAACAAGAGTTTTCTGAAAAATTCCAAAGCATTTTAAAATATTCTATTTGGACACAAAAAAATAAGTGACTTTTCACTAGATTTGAAAAAGGAATGGGTACCTACCTATATACTTAGTAATATTTGAAACACCTATCGCGAATCACGCTAAAAAAACTTCTCCTCAATGTACCTATTGAACACCTGATATACATAAAAAAAAGGAAATTTGACCCATACAAAGCCTGCTACATAAGCTTCTAGAAAAAAAAAAATACAATAATCCACCAAACAAAGTGGAAATGTCTCCTAACCTTACGGTCATATACCTACATTTAAGATTCTGGGGGGCAAACATACATAAATCTTCAAGGACGAGACACACAAGTTGAATGAGATAAGTTTCGGAAAGAGACAAATAATAAATATCTGTTTGTTGTTTATAGGTGTAATTAAATCACGTCTCATCACTTATGAGAAATAATTGGCCTGGAAAAAGTGGTCCCATAAACCCAAATTGTTTCAGTTTTGCAGCTGCGTTTCGTTGTTAGCGTGGGGTGCATAATATCGGTTATTAAATAATGGCATTCGCATGTCCGATTGCTGCACGGTTGTGCGGTCAAACTGGTCGCCAAACAACAATCTCTGTTTTGTTGTTGCTGCACAGGCAAAGCAAAATGCCATAATTACTCGAAGCGGTTAAAACAGTAAAATTTTTATGAACTTTTTATTAGTGGTAGCTAGCTATGACTGATAATACGGCACAGTGATTTAGTTAATCGTAGTACAAAAAAAATACAAATGAAGAGAGCAAATCAATTTGAACACCACCGTCAAAAGCAGTCGAAACAGTAATCTGGTAATCTGGAATTACAGAAATCATGAACTTACGACATACAGAAGTAGAGGATATTGAAGATAAATAACTGATACGAGCAAATACGAGAATACACAAGGATATCATTGGGTGGAAACCCAGGCGGAAGAAGAAGGAGAGGCAGACCAAGAAGGAGCTTGAGAATTGAAGTCGACCTGAAATTACATGTCTCAGCTCTGAAATGATGTTTGGTTTGTTCCTGTTCAGTGTAGCCTCTAGCCTTGAAATAACCAAGACGTCCAAAGAAGTGATCTGCCTAAAATATCATAGTTTCCGCTGTTGTGGAACAGTCAGCACAGACCAAAGATCATAGGCGCCGGAACTTCAAAATTACTATGGGGGCTCGGGCCCCCCCAAAAAAAAACACAAGTAAAATTATACAGACAGGACCAGTAGGCTACTAGACACAGGCCCTAATGGGACCAGTCGACTGATACACATTGAATGCTGGATCCAGGATCGCCACGCTAGATCATTGATCCTCCCTGCATATTATTGAAATTCGTGAATTTTCGGCTGCTGGGCAATACTCGGCTTTGACAGCACCGTTTCGATTTGCCTTTACCGGGTAGAAGCTAATTCGTCTTATTACTTAAATATGTGTCTAGTAGGATGATCCGGTTTGTATATACATTTTCCATGATATACTAGGTGAAAAAGGTACGTGTATCCATAATATTTATATTCATGTGATGTAAACATGTCATAAAAAAAAAAACGAAAAGAATATAATAATCCCAATCCGACTTTTTGGAAATAGCTTTAAATACTACATAACAAAATATTCAAATTATTTGTTTAAGTAGGAAGTAGGTATAGCAGAAACAACAAAAACATAAAACACACAAATTTGACATAAAGATAAATAATTAGGAATTCAATATTTTTGTACAGTGTGATCTATTTATTATAAATGTCACCTCCTCCTAACTTTATCATTTGACGTTTTTGACAAAAGTGTCACACACAAAAGCTTCAAGAAATTGTCAAAAGTTTTTAATAGTCAGTATCAAGCATATACACAACAATAAAGGAATAATAATAATAAGGTAACGGGAACACTATGTATACTGTTCACCTATTTGTTATTCCCCTTCAACCTGAGTTCAACGATATACGGTTTTTTATGTTTTAATCAGTTTGAAAGGGACTAACAAATAAGGGCACCAATATACATGGTGTTCCATTTAAAAAAATATAACTTCGCTCTGCTACACTTTTTTGACGCAACCGTATGCTTAAAACTAACGTAGTTGAAAACTTTTGACAATTTCTTGAAGCTTTTGTATTTGACACCTCTGTCAAAAACGTAAAATGAAAAAGTTAGGACATGGTGAAATCTATAATAGATCATCCTGTATCTACCTACTGAACTCACTCCATACCAAAATTACTATGGGGGCTCTGCCCCCATAGTAATTTCACTACGGGGGCTCAAGCCCCCATTGCTCCCATGGTTCCGGCGCCTATGCCAAAGATCTTGATATTCATATAGTTCACCTGTTATTATGTTCCGATAGCAAACTGCAGAAGCGTCTGTACAATTAGAAGATGAATAACTCTTCTCATGAATCTGCCTTGGATGCTCACATTAGACGCTCAGAAGCAAATAAAATGACGATGATTTCCATACTGGTTTATGTGTTATTTGGATTTTGTGAGGATGTAAGTAGTAAGTACTTATAAATCTGTGGTCATTTTAGTTTTGATTGAAGAATCTCATCATTTCTGGTCTCTGAATTCCTCTGAAGCTGTGAACTCTCGAATTAGATGATGAAAAATGTTGGCCTCTGATTGAATTGATAGCAATCTCTAGTTTCGAGCCCTAGAACTAGGTTATATACCGAGAATTTACGCCTGGTATTTAACTTATCACAACTATATAATAGTACCTATTTAGACTCTTAATTTTCCTTTGTTACCTTAATGTTCTGTTGCACCTATTATTGCGGTATTAAAAAGTTTCTTAGAATCGCTATCAAATAGATCTACTAAAGCTATTACCAGGCTCTCCTGGTTAACTAATATCAAAATAAAATCGAAAGCGGTCGGTTACCCAATGATGCAGGCTGAATAGGTGCAATTGAGAAGTAGCATAGTCTCGAGTTAAACATATTCAGATATTATTTATAGGGCGTTTCGCAACCCAACCACCACAATTTTTGCTTCAAATCCGCAAACGTACGACCTTGCCGCCGACGAAAATGAAAGGTAAAATTCCACTGCGGTGGCAGTACGTTCGATTTTGTACCGGGCGGAGTCATTTTACTATAGTACCTATACTTTTTGTTGTTGTTTATTACTGTTTTTATGTATCAAGCTCAATGTTTTTTTTAAATCTCATATAGGTATCTACTCAAAGAATTTTTAACAAGAATTTACTTTGTTATGGTTCAAGGATATTATTGTCAAATGGTACAATAATTGTATAATTATGTTGGAGAATATAAGGTCTCTGTTTCTGGGCAGAAATCACAAACCAGTCGGAGTGAATTTCATTGGTTGAAACTAGTTTTCTGACTGTTTTCAACCAATGAAATTCGATATGACTGGTTTGTGATTTCTGCAGAAACAGACCTATAATTACATGCGTCCAAATTATTTATTCTGGGCCTAACCTTCTATCCAGTACCTAAGGAAAATCTAATTGAGTCAGCAGCACCATATGGAAACAACGTACTCTTGGTTCAAGCCCCAATTGGGTCTGACCTCCTCAGTTAGGTATCTTCACTATAAGAACCCACCCACACACTCAACTCAGAGTTATCTTACTCTAGAGATATACAAACAAACAGGTGAGATTAAATATAGAGGGTGATGATGCGCCATAACAAAGCTATATTATTGAACTCCCTCCGTTCTGGCTCACCCATTAGATATTTCTGCAAGCCCGTTCATCCTCAAACTTTTTTATCTGATCAGTAAAGCTCAAGATCTATGTGACAATATAAACGGTGCTTTTAATGTTCAACCAAAGGGATGCTTGCTCCTCCATCTATGTCCATCCTGTCATGTTAAGACATAAGTTATCGAATGT